TCTTATGCAAATAAGAGACTAATAGTAGCTATTAAAGAAAATTAATTCAAAGAGTTTTTTTTTATATAAAACAACAACAAATAATTATATAAAAATTATTAATTTCATAAATTCAATGATCCAATTTTGCGTTCAACGAAAATCATTTTATTGTGAATGCCGTTAACAAATGTAAAGGACACATGCAAAACATGCAAGTTATCTTTGTTTACATTTAACATGGAGCCTGCCATGACATGTTTCAATGAGAAGAACAGCTGTTTTGTTGCTCTAAGCAAAATCTATGCAGAACAACAGGCAGAAGGCAGTTATAAAAGAAACAAAAATTCAAGAAGTTCTTTATAAAAAAGAACAACAAAAAGAACAAAATAAATTATTATAGAAAATTTAAAACAAACAAAATTTTATTGGGAATGCCTATTACAAATGTAAAAGACGCATGGAAAACATGAATGTTATCTTTGTTTACATTTTACATAGAGCCTGCCATGACATGTTTCAATGAAGAGAACAGCTGTTTTGTTGTTCTATGCAAAATGTATGCAAAAGAACAGGCAGAACGCAATTATAAAAGAAACAAAAATTCAAGAAGTTCTTTATAAAAAAGAACAACAACAAATAACCATGAAAATAAATGATTACAGAAAATTCAAAACAAAGCAAATTTTATTGTGAACGCCTAGTACAAATGTAAAGGCCGCATGCAAAGCATAAGTTATCTTTGTTTACATTTTACATGGAGCCTGCCATGACATGTCTTAATGAGAAAGAACAGCTGTGATAGAAAGTGAATGCGAGGAGTATTTTTTTTATAAAACAAAACATGAATGGAAAAAATTATTTACCTTCAACGAACATTATTATTGTGAATGACTCTTGCAAATGCAGAAAACAACAAATTAAAGAAGATGTAATTCAAATGCAGACTTGTCTTTGTTTACATTTTATAGAGAGAGAATAATAATAATGACGTCACAATGAGAATAACAGCTGTTCTATGCAAAACAAACGAAAGGCGGCAATTACTAAAGAAAAATTATTCGGGGAATTTTGTTATAAAAACACAACAACAAATAATAAATTATGTCAAAAAATGTCAAATGAAATTTAATAGACGTCTATTGTGAATTAATAACCAATTGGAATGAAAATAATGTTATTGGAAATTCTATTATCCAATTTGCTTGCAACAAAATCCCTCATTATTGTGAATGATTGAAATTAGCACTTGTCGAAAAAAAGCCGGCAGCGGGGCAACCCTTTAATAAAGCAAAAGAAAACAACTAAAAAATTGGAAATTATTATAATTTCGAGAATTTTATTAGATCAATATTCAGAAATTTATTAATTTTTTAATAATTTTTGGCAAAAAAATTTATTTACTGTATTTATTGGCAACAACCACATACGAATTGGTATTTTGTGATTTTGGCAAATATTTCCAAATATATGGCAATTACAACAAGCAGCACTCCAGTCCTTTACATATATAAATAAATTTAAAAGGTGACCTGAATGAAGAAAGGAGGCATTAAAAATTACGGATGAAGGGATGATGAGTGGAAGGCAAACAATTTATATGTAATATACACTGATGGACAGGGTTGGCATATAAAGGGGAAGAAGGTTACGACAACAGCCAGCTAGCTGGCTATCTAATAAGAAAATGTATGGCAAAAAACAAACAAAAAGTACAATAAAATAGAATGTCGCTATAATGAGATTATATTGAAACGAAATTTGTAACAAAATGAACGTCATATAGAAAAAACAGCAACAGAACACTCAACGAGTAAGTGTATTAAAACAGCAAAGAATAACAAACAAAAATAGAAAATAAAATCCCCCCATGGATTGGTAAAAAATCAATAATTCGTTTTATTAAAAAAAATCACACTATTTTTATTTTCCAGGCAATAAAAAAACATTTTCGTTTGGTCTCCGTAATTAATATTTTGTGTATTACATATCAATTTTCGGTTATGCTTCATTTAATATTTGCTATATGATGAAGCTTGTGTCGCAGGGGGGTCAGGTCACACACAAAAAAAGAAGAAACACACTGTTCATATTTGCAACACACTGCTGTGCTGCAGACCAGCATCGATGTACTTACCCCAAGCTAGCAAATCTGTTTTATGTTGTTTTTTTTCAGCTTGTCTTCATCAGCTTTGTAGAACAAGTTTTCTGCTTCCTTCCTTTTTGCTGCTGCTCTCCTCTGTGTGTTTCCACAAAAACATTCACTTTTTTCTGATTGTTACATAGCACTTAAGACAACAAACAGTACAGTAAACAAAAACAACACTTTAACTTTTGTTGTCGTTTTTTTATAAATTAAAAAATAATTAACATGAAGTTTTCTTTATTTAATTACAAATTTTTGCATTGTTTTCCTTGCGAAATTAAAGGAAAAACACACTCTTCGCTGTGTTTGGTTTGGTTGGTGTACGTGACGAGAAAATTATCCATTCACAATAATGCTACCAGATTGGTTGAAACGTCGTCGTTGTCGTCGTCCTATGACTTTTCTTGCTTTCTGTCTTTGCAACAAAACGCAACACGCACTCACTATGAACTAATAGCCCGTCTCTTTTTAGCAAAGCAAATTACACACAAATACACTTTACACGAACAATAATAATTTTCATTGACATTTTTCTATTAGAATTCCCGATTTATTGGATGATACTTCACTTTTAGCATTGTTGTTGGACATTTTCTATTATTTTACAATAGTTTTTGTTGTGATTTTCACGTGTTAACACAATAATTTTTACAATTTTTCTCGCTCGATATAACTTTTTTTGTTGACTTTTCTTTTTAGTAGCCTTTAAGTGGTAGGGTTATGTAGATCGACTTTGGGTATTATCGACTTGTCAGTTGTTGGCAAATGGAATTATCGATATGTTCGTAATCGATTGGCTTTTTGGGTGCTGATTGGGAAAAAAATTATTTAATGCACGAAAACTAATAAAAATCTTCAAATTTTTAAAAGAAAAATTTATAAAATTGTAGATTTGTTAATGTTCTTAAACATAGCATAAATAAATGAGCTGGTTCATTATTTATATAAAAAAAAAACTAAAAAAGAAAACACTGATGGAAAAATCATAGCAAAATTATTTGACTTATATTTTCGAAAAAAGAATAAAGTATTTTTTAATTATAATTACGTTTTTAACCGTTTATTTATTTTGAGTTTTGTAGTTTCCAAATTATTTTAAAATTTCCAAGTCCTTTAAAAATATTAAAAAAATGTATATAAGTTTTAAAAATATGGTATTTTCCATAAAATGCACAGTGTTTACTACGATAAAATAGTAATAGCATTTAAGAAATATTTTTAAAAAATGGAAATGTAAGAAATGTCTTAAAAATATATATGTATTTATTTTATTAATAAATCCACCCCATATATCTTTAAAAAATATTTTAAAAACGCAACGTCTTATGAAGTCGCAACAAATATTCTTTAAAATTGTAAGCCTTCAATAAAGTTAACAAAATTGTCTTAAAAATGCTGCGCCTTATATTGTCGCACCAAAAAATCTTGCAAATTAAAAATAAAATATCCACCCCTTAAAATTCGTAGAACAATAAATGTGTATAAATTTTACTCCTAAAGTAAAACTGTCCTCCATTTATACAAGAAATTTAATTAAATTATATATATAAATGATAAAAAAATGTACGATTAATTTTTTTTTAATAAAAAAACTATCTTAATGATGTTTTGTTCCATAAAAAAACATTTAAAATTTTTTCTTACATTTTTACTGAATTCAAATTATTGGCAACTCTATGCTTAAATTGTTATTTTTTTTATTATTCTAGATATTTTAATTAAGTACAATTCCAAAAATTAAGTCAAATTTCAGAAATCATCGTTTAATGTAATAGAAATGCCCCGTTGGCTCATTTCACTGAATCGTTTCATTGCAGTTTTATGTATTTTCTGTTCATGTATTTTCTGTTCATCGGGGGCAATTTTTTACTTGTATCAGCTTATTTTCCCATATATCCAACTCACACTTATTCGTAAACACATTAGAATATAGAAATCGCTTTATTTTTTGTTTTTACATTATCGGCTGTATATTTTATCAGAGTTCCGTTAGCTCATTTAATTGAATTGTTAAATTGAACATGTGTCCCTCAAACGAAAGCCACCTTTTGTATCCCTTGCATCCCCTAATATTATCAGCTGATTTTCACATATTCTTACCACCTCACACTCATTCGTAAACACAAACAAGTAGAACAACCCTTTATCATTCGTTGCCTTTCCGTTACATATTTTCCTATCACAATTCCATTGGTTCATTTCACTGAATCATTGCATTGAACACTCGTTCGATTGCTTTCTTCATTGGCCGTGGGAAATGAGTTACTAGTCCACATTGTTCATTTTAGTGAATAGTTCAAAAAAACCTCTTCGACCAAATTAAATTAACTTTCATAACGCTCGTTTCGTTTTAAGGAGATAGAAAAAGGAGAATAAGAAGACAAAATTAAAGGAAAAGGAAACTGTGTAATCTTGTTTGGACAGAATATTATAGAAAACGGATATTCAATTGAAAACTTAAATTGAAGTCGATTTTGTTATCCCCTTTTTAACCCCTAATTTTGTCAGCTGATTTTTGCACAAATCCATCTCACACTCATTCGTAAACACACGGGAGTATTACAACCCCATTTATTGTCTGGTTCTATGTTATCATTTGTTGCCTTTTGATTGCATCTTTCCCACATCACAGTTCCATTGGTTCATCTCAGTGAATCAGTCTAACTGAACTAGTGTTATGATTTTTTTCCTACGTTCGCCGGCAAAAGACGAAGACACTGCACACAGAGGGTATTTTTTTTCTTCATTACAAAATAGAAAAAAAAAATAGTAACTAAGCAATAATGTAAGTGTGTAATCATTTAGAGAAATTATTTACAATTTTTAAACGATTTTAATTGCAGAGAAAGAGATAAGAAAAGACAAATTTAGAGTAATGACCGAAAAGGTAACAAAATTGGCATTGGCCAGCCGTGTCATTGTAATGCTGTTACAATTGGTGGCTAACAAATTGATACCAGATCACAAGGCAGATGTTTTTCGTGCCCCCCTGGATGTGGATGTAAAGGACACCTGGCTGGATAAAACAGTAGCGTTTTTGTTAAACGGCTTTCGTCACTGGGATGGTGAATATTTCCTGCACATTGCCGAATATGGTTATACCTATGAGAATACCCTGGCCTTTTATCCTCTATACCCAATGATGGTCAAGTCTGGAGCAGTGGCATTACATTTTGCACTTGGCAATGTCATGAATATGCGATCATGCTGTTTGTTGGTGGGTGTGGTTTTAAATGTGGCATTATTTTGCAAGGCAGCTAATATTTTGTATGCGCTGACTCAACGTATTTTTAATGACCTAAACAAAAGTTGGAATGTTGCTTTGCTGTTCTGCTTCAATCCGGCTTCGATATTTTTTACGGCCGCCTATTCTGAGACAATATTCTGCTTGCTTTCGCTGTATGTAATGCTCGAGTGTTCGTGTCAAATAAGGGTGGTGCGTGCTGCCATGACGTTGGCCCTGAATGTGGCGGCGCGTTCAAATGGCTTGGTGAATTTAGGCTTTCCCATATATTTTGTGGTGAGAAAATTCGTCCTGAAACAAACCTCAATGTTGGGTGGTTTGGCCAAGGTGGCCCTGTGCATTGTGGTGTCCGTTGTGCCGTTGACATTTTTCAATTTCTATGCCTTTCGGCAATTTTGTGCCGTGGACAAGCCCAGCAATCATAGTGAGGCAATTTTGAATTATGCCCGCGAACGTAAATATGTTTTGGCCGGCTATCGTTATGACGAACAGTCGCCATGGTGCGATGACAACTTCCCCTTTCCCTATTCGTATATACAATCGCATTATTGGCATGTGGGTTTTTTGAAATACTACGAATGGAAACAACTGCCGAACTTTATGTTGGCCTCACCAATTCTTGTCTTTATGCTGTGGCATTGCACCAAGTATTTATACAACTTCTTGGCTACCCTGCTACCCAAATATCCTCTGTTCTATTTGATTAAGGAATATAAAACTTTGCCCTATACCATTCATGCCTTTGCCTTGACACTGTTTTGTATATTCTTTGTGCACATACAAATTTCGACAAGGTTGCTATGTTCCGCCACACCGTGTGTATATTGGTTCGCCTCCGATTATATGCCCAAGTCATTGGAGAATTTACAATTACGTTCTAAGGCGGGTTTAATATTTTTATGGTTTGCCTCGTATGTTTTGGTGGGAACAATAATGTTTAGCAATAATTTGCCATGGACGTAAATTGGGGAATGAGAGAGAGGGAATTTGATTTTTTCCCCAAAATACGAATTTAAACGCACCAAATCCACGAAAACGAAAAAAGAAATGAAGCTAATCTGGAGTCTATTGTATACCAACATTTTTATTTGTTTTTAAGTCAATACCAAATTGATTGCTGTAGTAGTTAATTAATCAAAGAGACTGTAAAATTGTATTGAATTTATTATTTTGTTTTTTAAATTTGTTTCTCATTTTTCTATAATTATTATTATATTTATAATAATTTGTTGAAATCCCAAAATTTCCCATAACATTGCTCCGCTCCGCCCGTATTAAATCTCAACGTAAATAATAATTTGTGCTGTGTATATGAATTATTTTTGTTGAATTAGTTAAATTTTTTATTTTTAAATTAGTTTTAATTATTTGTAAAAACAAAATCAAAAAATATCCCCTACTACTAATGCGTTGTTAATACGTGTGTGTGTGTGTAAAAATAAAATTTTTGCCAAGATGTGTAAATAAATTTCCCATTTAATCAAAAAAACAAGAAATGGTTTTTTATTACTATAGTCAGGAAATAAGAATTACGACCTTATAAGGCGGTATTTATTTGGGATCTCAGCTTTTTATACAAATTTCATGTTGAATTTTTTTTTTAATTTTATTGGGATTTTATTTTTTTAATTTTTAGCGCCTTCAAAAGGCATTAACATTAGCACTTTTTGCCGGGTTAACCTTCTCTATGAGGATTTATTTGACATATATGTAATGAAATTGACAAGTTAGATCCACTGGGTTTAATAAATCCGGTACAATGTAAACGTACTATTCGACTACTACATCAACTCGATTTCAAATGTCAATTCCATGGATTATGTTTGACGTATATGCTATGGAACTGTCATTTGAGATCAAGTGGAATTCGTAAATCTAAACGTACTTCAATCTTACTGATGTTCGGATTTTTTATTTGGATGTCGATAAAAATTTGGCCCAAAATGTTTTAATCCTTTTAATCTTTTTTCGACCGCACTAATTTCTTGCTCAAATGTTTTTATTTTTGTTAAAAATGTGTCTAAATTTTTGAAAGACATTTTTAAGTATTTAATTGAAAGTTTTACTTAATATTTCAATACTTTTAATTTATTTTATAGACATTTTTTTAAAGAAAATCTAATGTTTTTAGCCATGTACTAATATTGCCATGTAATTAACGCCGTTGTGACGCCAAACGTTTGACGACGAAACGTCAACCTATAGTGTGTACTCCCCTTAAGAGATTAGCAATGAGCGTAAATGTGAACATTCATTAACATTTCTATAATTGTTTTTATCAGCTATTATTCTTAAAAAATTAATATTTAATTCAAAATGTTATTTATTTTTCCCATACTTTTTTATTTTTTCTATTGATTTCTTAAAAAAATCTAATGTTTAACCATGCACCAACATTGCCATTAAACTAACGCCGTTGTGACGCCAAACGCTTGGCATTGCAACGTCAATGTCGTTCGGCGTCACACAACATGATTGTGTTCTCCATTCAACACACATTTTGACAGCCGCCAAAAGTGAAGTTTGCTCTGTGTGTGTGTTTTACTAGTGTGGTGGTGGAATAAACGTCGTCAGCCATTTTTTCTATAATCGGATAAAAGAAGCATCGTCTCCGTTTTTATTCTTCTTACGTGAACTTTTTTAATTTTAGTGTTTAGTTGAATTTAAATAATAATAATAATAAAAAACATATAAAATACATAACATTGAAGTAGTGAAATAACAGAAATATTTATTTAATGAATAAAGACTGATTTTTTGAACAGCTTTTTTGTAAATTTAAGGTAAGTTTAGAGAAAACGTTCGAAAAAAAGGTCATACGATCGATGTGTGTATTTTTCTTTTTTTGCTTTAATGTGATGACGAATACCAGAATGTGTGGTTTTTCCCCAAAAGAAAATAATATATACAAGTAATGCCAATTTAAAGAAATATAGATAATTTATTGTGAAATGTGATAGATTGTAATGGAAAATTGTGTGACATTGTGAAAAATGAAATGGAAAATTTTTAACTGGCATGTTCCATGAAAAAACGTCGGGTGAAAAAAAGGTGTACAAATGTTTGCCAATAACACACACACACGTACCATATACCTACATAAATGTGTATATATGTATATTGATATTTTTGTATAATAATGATGATGATGATATGAAGTTGTATTTGTATGTGCGCGAATCTGTACCCTTTGTTGCGTGAGGTTGGTTGAGTGTGTCCAAATGTGTTTAGTTTTGTTGTGTTGGTTTCATCGTTGTTGTGTTTACATTTGTATTTGGTGGGAATTTCGAAATATATGCACCATTCCATATTGTTTTTATGAAAAAACACGTTAATAGAATATCAAATTTTATTTAATTGTTTACAGTGAAACCTATCAATAGTACCACCTGTCATAAAGTGTTCGTATTTTGTTTTCCACCACACTTACAATGTCAATTCAATGTTTCACCATGGTGACAACTGCTGTCGCCATGCCATATGTTGTCAATATCTATCCACAAAGGCCTCATGTTATTTGTGTTAAATTTATTAGTGCTTTCGTTGTTAATTATTTTTAGTAACAATTGTGAGAAATTTTGTTTTTATAATTTGTGTAGTTTTTGCAATTTGGTTGGTGATTAAATCTCTAAAATAAATAAAAATCTTTCAATATAACAATGTCGTGTGTCTCTCAATTTCCCGCTCAAAGACTAATTGCTGTCAAAACATTAACAAAATGAAGGAGATTAGTGTCATTGAGTGTCTGTCATATGTTGTCAATGTCTCTCTCGAAATGATAATTCTTTTTATTATTTTTTGTTAAATTTATTCGTGATATTGGTGTAATTTACTTGCTGGTTTAATTGTAATTTTTTTCCAAAAATTTTGGCATATTACCTTTCTTTGACGGTAAATAATTATATTTTTTGTTTGTGATTAATTATCCAATGTAATAAGTCATCGTGGACGTCTCTCAATCTCCCGCTCAAAGACTAATTTTGATGTATCAAAATATTAAAAGCATGAGATTAGTGTCATTGATTGTCTGTCATATGTTGTCAATTCCTTTGAAAGGCCTTTTGTGTTGTCTCTCAAGATGATTATTATTATTTTTAGAGTTAATTTTATTAGTGATATCGGTTTAATTTCGTTGCTGGATTTATTGTGATAATTTGGTATTATATTTTTTTTTTAATTTGTGTTATTTTACCTTCATATAAGGGTAAATAATTGTCTTTTTTGTTTGTGATTAAATCTCTCCCTGTCAATCTCCTCCTGCTCTTTTTGGTTGTCAAAACGTTAACACAATGAAGAGAATGTAAACGTCAAAGGGGAATGGCGATTTGTGTCATTAATAACCTATAGACGTTGAGGATTTTAAACAATTTAAATGCTAGATAATTATTAGCAATTAAAATAACAATAATTAATAATAATAAAATAAAAAAAGAACATTTTGTTTATCGTATGAGGTCAGTTGTTTTAGTGCACAAAGGCTAATTGCTGCTCTCACAAATTTCTTACTTGACAAGAATTCTCTTTGCTTGATTTTGTTTTTGCATGAAATCAACATCAGCTGTTGACGTTTTAAAAATACGGATTTTTAAGCATTGAATTACAAATAAATTTAATTATAAATCTAAAATATAAACTCAAACTCGTTCCAAAACAACATTTTATAACAGACAATTTTATTCGATACAATTTTAATAGCCTATGTTTAAAACTGCAGATCTTTGTTAAAGAAGGTTTTCCTCATGGCAGGCCAGAAGATCATTCCTTAGAAGAACAAAAGGTAAGCCTTTTGGAAGAACAGAAGGTAATCCTTTTGTAAGAACAGAAGGTACTCATCTTATGAAAGTAGACCGAATCTAATAAACAAACCTTTTTTAGTGTTTTGTTGTAGCATCCGAAGTTGCTTTTTGAGAAGACTTGGAGAGGTCATCCATTAGAAGAATATATCAAATAACTCCTAAACAACTCTGTGGGGATTCATGCAGAATCCAGAACGGCAATATTTAATGCAATATTAGTTTTGTAGAGAAGGTGACATGTTTTGTTGTTGACTGCTTGGGCATTTGGTGAATACCGATGAGAGGAGACAAATGTTTGTTTCTTGATTATCAAACTCTTCAATATTGACATCAATTTTCTGTAGACACGTTGATTTTCACCTTAACGAAGCCAATATCGATGCTGATGTAAATATATTGGCATTCTATGTGAACCAACTCCTCCACCATTATATTTATACTCCCCTGATTCCGGTCTGGAGAGACTTCTTTTGTCATGTCGATTTATTTCAAATCACATGATTTACTGAACAAGAAACTGGCTAAAGATGATTTTCTTCTGAATGCTCAATTTCAAGGGCATCTCTATATAGCATTTTACGAATGCTGATTGTTCGATCATATCTGTTTTATCCGGACATAGTGTGAGGAATATAATCGATTTTTAAATTCCGCATTTAATGATAATGTCGAAAAAGATTACAATGAACCCTTTGTATCAAAACATTTACGGTCTCATTCTTTATCGCAGCCTCACATTTTTTAGATGTCAGAATGACCAGGATGGAAAGGAAGAACATTTTTGGAAATATTTCTTTATACGATTTCATTCTTTGTTCGGGCTGCTGCTTTTGTAAATGACCAGGTTGTCGAATTTATAGAAGACCAGATAAAACATGCTAATAGATTAGAGAAATTTTCTTTGTATAGGAGATCAAAAAAAAATATATATATGACATAGAAAACCTATATACCAATATGCTTTCTAGATGAGAGGACGGACCAGAACTTTTCATAAAAGCCCAGAAGATCACCCACCTATTCATGGAAGACCTGAAGGACATCTTTAAAGGATAATACCTTCTTATAGATAACTTAAAAGATTTTTGAGATGACCTTATAGAATAATAGAAATTTTCATAGAATATCAGGATCATATCTGTTTTATCTCAAAGTCAATTTTTATAGAAGTCCAGAAGGTATCCCATAAAAAGTATTTTTTTATAAGATCAGAAGGAATACTTCATAGAAGACCAAAAGGAATACTTCTTAGAAGACCAGAAGACCAAAAGGACTACTTCATAATTGCCCAAATGTACTGCATCGCCGTTGACCAGAAGTTCTTCAATATAGAAAATCGGATGATTTTGTTTTTTAAGGGAACTACAAAAAGAGTACAATAATTTAGTTTTTTTGGATGTTTTGGAAATTTGTTTGAAATCGCACACTCGAAAATTAGACCTAAAATATTAAAAGACCTACAGGGGAACAAGTCCAGATTAGGACCCGGTCTCAGATAGTTTTAGAATTTTTGCCATAGGTAGTCCTTTAAGCCCTTTATATAAATTACTTCTTGCGGCAATCCGTATTTCTACATATATGGGTTTCCAATGGCTATCATTTTAATGCGGTTGAAGTACTAATTACAAAAATGTAACTTCTTGAGATATGGGCTTCGAAAATTCCGCAGGGACCTTTTAAAATTCTTAAAAGAATCTTCTTGGATAGCCATATCTCAAGAACTATGGACGTCTTCAATAAAGAAATTAAATTTTTTAATCGAGATTTCAAACGCTTTAAATTGATACCCATATTGCTTTAGGAAAATTTAAAAATCATGAGAAAATACAAGGGTCCGAGAGGAACTTTGGAGGTCCATATCTTCGGAAATACGAATTTTCCTAAAAATAGGAAATTACTTTTTCTAAATCATGATTACAAACCCTTTAAATTGATACCCATATTGCCTTGGGGAATTTTAAAAATCATGAAAATTATAAAAGACTCGAGCGGAACTTTGGAGGTCCATATCTTCGAAAATACGTATACCGTTGTAATCAGGGCCCCAAGGACTGCGCATATGGTAAACATTTCAAAACGATTCGCGATTCTGAAGTATATTTTCATTATGGACCCCGATTTTCCTAGCTGAAATTTGGAAGCCCCCTTAAATTCGGAAAAACGTATTTTCACAAAATAATAATAATATACCGTTGTAATCAGGGCCTCAAGGTATGCATATGCTAAACATTTCAAAACGAACTGCGATTGTAAAGAATATTTTCCTAAAGGACTAAAATTTTTCGAATGGACCGGCATTTTAAATCCCTTTTTATTTACAATATTTAATATTATTATTAAAATATATTTGAATTACCTCAATTAACAAACAATCCTTTTTTCCCTTTTTCTCCTTTCAGTTTCCGATTTTGCAAAAGAGAAAAAAAGGCACCACCTACAGAAGAAACAAAAAACAGCGTAGCCATCATGGATATAGCTACGAAAACCCAACGAGAATGTGAAGAACGTGTTGCCGAAGAATATCTATCCAGTCTATCGGATTTGAATTGCAATAGTAAACCGCTTATAAACATGCTTACCATGTTGGCCGAAGAAAATATCGAATATGCTGGCGTTATTGTTAAAGTCGTTGAACAACATATAGCAAAGGTGGTTAATAGTAGTCAAATAAAAAAAGTGTATTTTAAAATTAGCTAGTATTAGTATGTAAGATAAGGGGCGGCAATAATTTGAGTGTTGAAGGTTTGAAAACCCAACGATCATACGGACCAAAACCTTAAAGGCCAAAGTGTTATAAATTAAGAAAATCCAAATCAATTTTCTCTTTTGAAATGTTATTGGAAATTTAATAAAGTTGTAATCACTTTTTGAAATATTCAGAATACTACAAACAGTTTTGAAATGTAATTGGAAATTGAAAAAAGTATTAAACACACTTTATGTTTCTAATACAATTCAAATATGGTTGATTTGTAGAACAAACAAAAAACCCAAAGGAAGGGCTCCTCTCCAAGAGTTTGGCATTTTCGAAGATATAAATTTTTTGTATTATGAAAAAAAAGAAAAGAAAGTGCTCGCTCTCTCTCTCACTCTCTTTTTTAAGAACTGCAATAAATCGTAGAAAATCGCATGCAGTCAATTAGATACCAACTATACAAAATAAATTATATTGAAAACCAAATAAACAATTATCCCAAAACAATTGTAGTTAATTGTTTTATTTCACAAACAAAATTTAAAGAAAACAAAATACAAAAAAAATAAATAAACACAGTGTTTTAGAGTCTCTTTTAAAGTAAACCACACCCTCCCCCCAAAACAAATATTTTATGTAATTTTTTACTTCCCATATTAAAACAAAACAGGTTCCACCCGAATTTAAATTGCCCATATTGTATTTAATCGATTCAATTGTTAAAAATGTCAAAGGCACCTATGTGCAATTATTCAGCCAATGTATTGTCAGTCTATTTTGTGGAGTTTTTGAAAAGGTAAGTCCATGGCAAATCCGCAAAATATCTCTTTAAATAATTTTATTAACAAAATCCCTATTTTTTCTATTTTCAAACAAAAAAGGTCAATGAAAAGATCCGCGAAAGAATGTATGCCCTGAGGCAAACATGGAATGAGGTATTTTCCGCTCAAAAACTCTATGCCCTGGATGTCAAAGTGAAACGCTTGGACAATAATTGGCCCATTACCGCCAAACAGCCATCGATACATGTGAATCCCAATTTTTTGAAAACGGTAAGAAATATATATATTTTTTTTGTATACCCTTCACCATACTGTGGTACAGTTTATTATGTCATTGTGCATATGTTTGTAACAGGCAAAAGGAAACGAGAACCGTTTCCTTCTCCTTTTAAGAATATGCATAGAATCACTTTCTGAATCGATTTATGCATGTCCGTCCGTGATCCGATTTGGATGAAATTTGGCACAGCACATTTGTTTGGCCCAAGGACGAACCCTATTGAAATATGAGAAAATCGGTTCAGATTTCGATATAGCTCCCATATATATTTTCGTCCGATTTTACGTAAATGGTAAACCAATGTCCCTATATATCATTCGATTTGCACGAAATTTGTTACAGCGTAATGCACTAGGTCTAGAATGATGTGTGTCAAGATTCCTGAAAATCGGGCCAGATTTAGATACTGCTCCCATATATAGTTTCGTTCGATTTAAGGTAAATGGTGCAACAAAGTCCCTATATCTCTTTTGATTTGCACGAATTTTGGCATAGCGTACTAAATTAAGTCCAGAATGATGTGTGCTAAGTTTCGTGAAAATCGGTTCAGATTTAGATATACCTCCCATATATAGTTTCGTTCGATTTAAGGTAAATGGTGCAACAAAGTCCCTATATCTCTTTCGATTTGCACGAAATTTGTCATATCTTACTGAATTGAGTATAGAATTATGAGTGGTGAGTTTCGGGAAAATCGGTTCAGATTTAGATATAGCTCCCATATATATTTTCGTCCGATTTCATGTAAATGGTGCACCAAAGACCCTATATATCTTTCGATTTGCACGAAATTTGGTATAGCGCACTGAATAGAGTCTAGAATTTCACATGTTAAGTTTCGTGGTAATCGGTTCAGATTTAGATATAGCTCCCATATATAGTTTTGGCCGATTTTCAGTAAATGGTGCAAAAAAAAAGCCCCAAAATATGGCCAATAGATACACAATTCTGCACAACGTACTGAAGTTACAATGGCATAATGTGTGCCAAGTTTTGTTGAAATCGATTCAGATTTCGATATAGCTCCCATATATAGTTTTGTCCGATTTTTAGTAAAGAGTGCACCAATGCTCCAAAAAAAAAAAATGGCCGATTGGCACAACATTTTGCAGAACGTACTGAAGTTTGTATAATCAACTGTGTGGAAAGTTTTTCTGAAATCGGTTCAGATATAGATAAAGCTCCAATATATAGTTTCATACGATTTTTGTGAAAGATTGGGTCAAATTGGGACAGAGTACTGCGAAGTTTTATTAAAATCGGTTCAGATTGAATCCCATATATAGTTTCGTCCTTTTTTTTTAATGATACACCAAACTCCCAACATTTTTCCGATTGGGAAAAAATTCCAAAGTAGTGAAGGGTATCATATAGTCGGCCCCATCCGACTTTTAAACTTTGCTTACTGATTGTAATTGGATTTATTTTTCTAATTTTTATTCCTCTGTTTTTATTTTCTTATTCCAGGCCAATCAAGCCATACCAACAGAAATGGAACAAATCCTTAAGGATAAAACCCGCGAATTATTGGAATTGAAAAAACGTAAACTTGAATTGGAATTGGAGGCCACGAAAAAACATTTGGAGGAGCAAGAGAAACAATTTTCCAAAACGGCCGAAGGTGTACTGCCACCGGTGGATGCTGCTTTGGTTGTGGCCAATGCCTTCAGTCAATCGGTGGGCATACGGCCAACAACCAGTGCTGCCATGGCTGCAGCAGCTGCTGCTGCTCAAGTTATACCAGGTGGTGTTATGGCTCCAGGTGGTTTTATGGCCACTCCTGGTGTGGCCATTAATCCGCTGAGACCACCCATGTATCATCACAATATCAGAGGGTTTCCACCAAATCTTCATCATCCTGGCATGATAAATGAAAATACACAACAGGTACATACATATACGATACATAGATTCCGATAAAGAATAGTTTAACAATTTCTTTTATTTATCAGAATATACCACCCATGGGAAATATGCCTCCTGGCGCCGCCTCGGCTGCCTCTGCAAATAGTTCCAACAAACCCCGAGTTCATCCCGTAAATTCGGCATTAATAAGTTCCGTGCGTCAGCGTGATCCACGTTTACTGCGCCAACAACAACAGCAGCAGCAACAACAACAACAACCGCCATCATCTACAGCTAGTCAATCCTCATCACACACTGACTCTTCGGATAAACAAACTGGCCGCAATGAACGCGGCGGCCACAAACCAAGTCGCAGTAAATCACCCACAAGATCCAGTTCCACATCATCAGCCACGGCCAGTGGTAGTGGTCGGTCATCCTCAACACGTTCCAGCAGCAAAAGTTCCAGTCGTGACAAAGAAAGGGAACGTAAACGTTCCGAATCAAAAGGTTCATCTTCCGCGTCATCATCATCAAATACTGAACGTAAAAAGTCATCATATTCCTCCTCCGGCTCCTATGGCTCGTCGAAATCCGACAGCAAATCATCGGCAAAATGCGATAAAGATGCCTTTGAAATTGCACCGCTATCCAGTGCATTCAAACGGAAATCATCATCACCCAGTTCCTCACCCAGTAAATCAACACGCGACTCAAAACGTTCAAATAAATCATCATCCCGGTCCGGGCGCAGTAAAACAAGTTCACGCAGCCCCTCTCCAGAATCGTCAGCCGAAAGTTATAAAGATAATCATGGTTCGGGTGTGGGATCACGTAGAATGTCTACAACATCTTCATCATCTTCGATGTTGGCATCATCACCCGAAAAACAACGTCTACCCAAAATTGCTGCTGATATTGAAACGACGATGGACAGTGCCGCTGTAAAAACAAAGAATGTAGACCCAGCTGCTGCAACTGCCGCTGCTTCAGCGTCTGCATCAAATACAGACAAAAGTAAGACATGTCACCTTCACTACAAAAATACTACTATTGTTGCCTTAACTATATTAATAATTATTTGTCAGATCCGAAAGTTGTTATTACATTTTTATCGTAATATCCTTCTACTACTTTTGCTTCATCGTCGTAAAATAATAACCCCAAAGAGTTTTGTTGTTAGGTTTAGGATGAGTGTGAAATGGTTCTCCTTTAGTGTGTAGGGAAGGGGCGGTGGTAATGCTATTTTTGTCCCCCTCTCCGCCCATTAGTTGTGGCCTCCATTATTTTTTATAGGTGGTGTATTTTTTTGGAAAATCGTTTCATTTTGCTTGACAATTTAAAAGTTGGTGTTTTTTTTTAATATTAAAGCTAATGGAAATTCCGCTAATCATATTTTAAAAATAATTGTAAAAGGACGTTATTTAGATATAGGACCCTTCAATTGCGGGCTTCAAATGTAATTTCAAAGTCTCTTTTATAAATTGATAAACCTCCAACGGGGGATTGAAGAGTCTCTTTTATAAATTGGACACCCTACAACGGGTATTTTATAGATGAAAGAACTTTAAAGGCAGTTTCTTAATGTATCTTCTAATTAAAATTTAAGACCCAACATTGTGATCATTTTGATATAAAATATGGAATAACTTTGAAAGGAGGGATTCTAAGCAATCAAACCTTTTTGAATTGTCTTAGGTCTACATATAATAGCCTTTTTAATGTATTGTCATAGACATGACCGAGGATTTTTTCATCTATGTTTATATTATATTATTTATATTTATATTATATGATTTGTATAGTATCAAACCAACATTTAAAAGGCCTTAAGGCATACATTTTTTTAAGATTTTTTATTGACCTTTAAAAGGCCTTAAGGTGTGGACTTTTTAAAGATTTTTTTTAGGCCTTAAGGCGTCAATTTTTTAAAGAATTTTTTAGGCCTCAAGGTGTGGATTTTTAAAGAATTTTTTAGGCCGGTGATTGTGTTGAAAGCATTTTTTTTAAGGAGACTGCGGAAGGCAGCAGACTGTCAGCTGTAACGGTCCAAGAGATACCAGTGAATTTTTAAATAATTTTTAGCCCTTAAGGCGTGGACTTTTTAAAGATTTTTTTAAGGACTTAAGGCGTGGACTTTTTAAAGAATTTTATAGACCTTTAAAAGGCCTTAAGGCATGGATTTTTAAAGAATTTTATAGACCTTTAACAGGCCTTAAGGCGTGGACTTTTTAAAGTTTTTCTAAGGCTTCAAGGCGTGGACTTTTTAGAGACCATTAAAAGGCCTTAAGGCGTGGATTTTTTAAAGAATTTTTATAGACCTTTAAAAGGCCTTAAGGCGTGGATTTTTTAAAGAATTTTTATAGATCTTTAAAAGGCCTTAAGGCGTGAATTTTTTCGAGAATTTTTAAAGACCTTTAAAAGGCCTTAAGGCGTGAATTTTTTAGAGAATTTTTATAGATCTTGAAAAGGCCTTAAGGCGTGAATTTTTTCGAGAATTTTTAAAGACCTTTAAAAGGCCTTAAGGCGTGAATTTTTTAGAGAATTTTTAAAGACCTCTAAAAAGCAAAAATCGTGGATTTTTTAAAGAATTTGTATAGACCTCTAAAAAGCAAAAAGGCGTGGATTTTTTTAAAGAATTTGTATAGACCTCTAAAAAGCAAAAATCGTGGATTTTTTAAAGAATTTGTATAGACCTCTAAAAAGCAAAAAGGCGTGGATTTTTTAAAGAATTTGTATAGACCTCTAAAAAGCAAAAATCGTGGATTTTTTAAAGAATTTGTATAGACCTCTAAAAAGCAAAAAGGCGTGGATTTTTTTAAGAATTTGTATAGACCTCTAAAAAGCAAAAATCGTGGATTTTTTAAAGAATTTGTATAGACCTCTAAAAAGCAAAAAGGCGTGGATTTTTTAAAGAATTTGTATAGATAAAAAGCAAAAATCGTGGATTTTTTAAAGAATTTGTATAGACCTCTAAAAAGCAAAAAGGCGTGGATTTTTTTAAGAATATTTTTCGAGGACGATCTCCGCAAAAGGCGTGGATTTTTTTAAGAATTTGTATAGACCTCTAAAAAGCAAAAATCGTGGATTTTTTAAAGAATTTGTATAGACCTCTAAAAAGCAAAAAGGCGTGGATTTTTTTAAGAATTTGTATAGACCTCTAAAAAGCAAAAAGGCGTGGATTTTTTAAAGAATTTGTATAGACCTCTAAAAAGCCAAAAATCGTGGATTTTTTAAAGAATTTGTATAGACCTCTAAAAAGCAAAAAGGCGTGGATTTTTTTAAGAATTTGTATAGACCTCTAAAAAGCAAAAAGGCGTGGATTTTTTTAAGAATTTGTATAGACCTCTAAAAAGCAAAAATCGTGGATTTTTTAAAGAATTTGTATAGACCTCTAAAAAGCAAAAAGGCGTGGATTTTTTTAAGAATTTGTATAGACCTCTAAAAAGCAAAAAGGCGTGGATTTTTTTAAGAATTTGTATAGACCTCTAAAAAGCAAAAAGGCGTGGATTTTTTTAAGAATTTGTATAGACCTCTAAAAAGCAAAAATCGTGGATTTTTTAAAGAATTTGTATAGACCTCTAAAAAGCAAAAAGGCGTGGATTTTTTTAAGAATTTGTATAGACCTCTAAAAAGCAAAAAGGCGTGGATTTTTTTAAGAATTTGTATAGACCTCTAAAAAGCAAAAATCGTGGATTTTTTAAAGAATTTGTATAGACCTCTAAAAAGCAAAAAGGCGTGGATTTTTTTAAGAATTTGTATAGACCTCTAAAAAGCAAAAAGGCGTGGATTTTTTTAAGAATTTGTATAGACCTCTAAAAAGCAAAAAGGCGTGGATTTTTTTAAGAATTTGTATAGACCTCTAAAAAGCAAAAATCGTGGATTTTTTAAAGAATTTGTATAGACCTCTAAAAAGCAAAAAGGCGTGGATTTTTTTAAGAATTTGTATAGACCTCTAAAAAGCAAAAAGGCGTGGATTTTTTAAAGAATTTGTATAGACTTCTAAAAGGCCTTAAGATGAGAATTTTTATAGACCTTTAAAAGGCCTTGAAGCGGCGATTTTAAAGGAATTTTTATAGACCTCTAAAAGGCCATATGGTGTGGATTTTTAAATAATTTTATAGACCTCCTATAGACCATCGAATGAGGATTTTTCTATGAATTTTTATAGGCATTTAAAAGGCCATCGGGTGTGGATTTGTTAACGATTTTTTCCAGACCTATTTTTTTGTACGTACGTTCCCACGCCTCACTTTCCCACCCCTGCCGACTTTCCCACGTAGCAATAGGGTATGGATTTTTTAAAATAATTTTTATAGACCCCTAAAAGGCCTTAAGCTCTGTTAGAACCCTAAAATGCCATATGACCTGTTATTTAAAGAATTTTTTTATTGGCCACTAAACATTTTCTCTACCAATAGAGTGGGGGTTTAAAAAAATTGTATAGACATCTAAAAAATTTTTCTATACCAATAGAGTGTGGGGTTTTTAAAGAATTTTTATAAACCTCCTATAGACGACTATCGAATGTGAAGTTTTCTTATAATTTGTATAGGCTTTTTAAAGAATTTTTCCAGACCTCTAAAGTAGGTAATTTTTCTGTCCCAATATAAGACCTAAAGCCTGGATTTTTTAATGAATTTTTATAGACCTTCAAAATGCCATAAGCCGTAGGGTTTTTTTAGAACCCTTAAAGGCCATATGACCAGTTTTTTAATAATTTTATAGACCTCTAAAAGGCCGTAAAGCATGGATTTTTTAAATAATTTTTACAATCACAAGGCGTGGATATTTAAGAAATAATTTCTACAACCTTACATTACTACCTAGCCCCTATAAATTTCGAATATTTCAGGATATATTGTTTCAATCGAATTTAAAATAATTTACTAACTAAAATTCCCTTTAGAAAATATATCACAAACAATTTTAAACTGCATAAATTTCTAAAGTCCAGAAGTCGTCATACAAATTAAAACAACGATAAAAATATAACCTCAAACAATAAGCTATTATCAACCTAACCTCAACTTGTTTATAGAGAGTGATTTTTTTCCTTTGGGCATCTATTAAAAATTTTGTAAATTCTTATTAAAATTTAGATATTTATTTTAAACATGACATGGGCAAACAGATACTATACTTTAAAGGGTATTTTTAAATGAGAGGAGGTATCACTGAGGAGGAGAAGAGCCGAGCCCTGTGGTAATGGATAACAACGTAATTGGTAATTATTGTTGTGATTCACATGGATGGATGGGTAAATAAAAAAATAAGCATTTGCAAGCAAAATAAACGATTCTTCCCCTCGCCGCACATAGGCTGATAATTTGTTAGGCGTTGGTGTTCGTTCGTTCGTTAGTTCTACAAATCTGTGATCTAAAAAAACTGTGATATTTTATTTTTTACTTCAGGCAAGGTTGGTAGGGAGAAATATATATTTTTTTATTTTAAAATATACCTTGCAAGAAGAGAAACTATATTTTTTTCATTAATTATGCTATTAAGTAAACAAAACCAAAAACAAAAAAACAATCAATTTATAATTAGTATTAAATTATTTTAATACTTGGAAAAGAAAAAAATAAACAAAAGACAAATAAACTGCTTAAAAAATTGCCCTTCGTTGTTTTAATTGTCCCCAAAAAGAATTTTTTTTTTATTGTTGTTCTCACCAAAAACAAAACTCTTTAATCAATTCTCTCTGTGGTCAACTCTTTGGGGTTCAATTGTTAATGTGTGATATTTATTATTAATATAAGTTATCGACAAATAACTGTAATAAAGAAAAACATATTTTGTTGTTGTTTAGATGAAAACATTATTCCCATCATATATAAATCTATATATATAAAGAAAATACAAAATACATGTATATTAAAAAAAAAATGAAAGAAAATGTTTTCTGTCTCTGTTTAGAAGAAAAAAAATATATATTATTAAAAACCCAAATGAAAACAAAATAAAAGAAAGAACAAAATGACACATTAAAAAAAACAATAATAACTTGTAAATTTTAAAAAAATTATCAGACTCTTTAGAATATTTAGATTTGTTTTTTTTTATTAATTATTTTTATATTTTTTATTTATTATTCTTATTTTTTTTTTGTTTGTTTTATTTTTAAGTAGTTTTATTGTGTAGTTCTAAAAAAACATAACTATGTTGCAATGTGTGTGTGTTAAGGAAAGATGTATTTTCGTTAAAATTTAACTAAAGGATAATTTGTATATCGAAATTTTTACAATTGATGATTTACTGTTGTCAGGCCAAGGAAGTCATTAAGTAGGGGATACAATTATTTATAATTTAAATTTAAGTAGTATCTACTGTTGTGTGAAATATTTACTCATTAGATTTTCCTAAAGTGAACAGTTTTGTTTTACTGTTAGTTTTGATGTAAGTGCGTCTTATTTCCGGCTCTTTTGAAGGAAGAGCGTCTTGTTCCGGCTCATGGCTGTTTTTAAAAATTGTGAAGTTAGTGCTTGTTTTTTAACAGATGGCTTTATAATGGAATCCATGATTTTATTTATATTTTGGAAAAGTAGAAAAACGAATTTTCGTGTTCAAAAAAGTGTTGAAGAATAGATTCTCTTTTTTTTTTGTAAATGGATTTTTTCCTTAAAAAAATGCCGGATGCTGCAGTTCTTACAATTGAAAATATCAACTCCATCTCAAATTTAAAGAATAATCTCAGCTTATAAAATTCATATAAATATGAAAACATTAATATAAAACAATAAAATATAAGTAATATAAAAATTTATATATAAAATAATATAAAAAAATAAATATATAATATAAATCATAAAAACAATTAAATATAAAGAGAAAAATAAACATATATAAATATATAAATATATATATAAATATAAATACAAAACTATTTTTCTATAAAAAATATTTAAATATAAATAAGATAATAATATAAATATATAATATATAATATATATAATATATAAATATATATAATATAAATATAAATAATATAAATATATATTATATATAAATATATATAATATATATATAATATATAATATAAAAATATATTATATATAATATAGAATATAATATAAATATAATATATTTTCAATAAAATATAAAAATATAAAATGTATAGAAATATATATAAATTAAATTTTCTAAAAAGAAGCCAATTTCAAGAAAATGCTTAAAATGCATAAGTGATGTAAAGAAAGTCGAAGTTTAAAGTAAACGAAATTTTTGAGGACATAATCTCACAAGAAAATAAAAACCATAACACAAAGCTCATACAAACGCAATGTCGGAAGCTGCAAATGTCAAATATATTTCAACGAGAATATGCAAATCTAAAAGGAATCGAAATTTACCTCATAGAAATAGAAATTACCATCACAGATTAAAGTGCATAATAGTTATGTAGGATACCCATATTAGGATCCGATATTAACACAATCAACAAATGCGGATATAACCTCAAAAATGTTTCCCAACATTTACCAAGACTCAAAGATGACATCAAGTGATAAAAATGTTAATTATTCATACGATGGAGAGCTAGAATTAAAGCATTCGGAATATATACAGCCAAAATATAACCTCAAAAAATGTTTCCTAATATTTACCAAGACCCAAAGATGGCATCAAGTGATACAAATGTTAATTATTCATACGATGGAGATTTAGATTTCAAGCATTCGGAATATATACACCCAAAATATGGATGCAGCTACAATGAAACGCAACATAACCTTAACTTAACCACAAACACAAGCCCAAATTTTATTTGTACGCGATGGATGGAAATACTCTTGGGTGGAATGAATTCGTTTTTTTTTTTTGTAAAACGCAACATAACCTCAAAATGAACGCACTGCAAACATGTAGAACATTTTACGCTGAAAATCAATCAACCTCAAAATGAACGCACTGCTAATATTTCCACAATTGATGGATATACATATATAAAAGTATTCGAAATTTACATGATTAAAAAACATAATCTAAAAAATAGAAATTAGAATCCAAGATTAATATGAAGGAAACCCAAGCCTACGAAGGAATCCTAAAATTAAAGCATTCGGAATTTATGCAAACCCCAGCCTCGAAGAAACGCAACAAAATATTACATAACCTTAAATTAACCTGTAAATCGTGCCTATATTTTATTGTACGCGATGCCTGGAAATACTCTTGGGTGAATTTAATGTTTTTTTGTACGCTGCAAATCATCCAACCTCAACATAACCTCAAAATTGAAGAACAGCAAATTATTCAACAATTGATGAAAATTTGTCATAGAAACGTTGGAGAAAGTTATTTTGGCAAAAAATGCAACCATCACCTGCAGCAATATCGTGTGAATACCATAATCGGCAACCACCCCCATCCATCCATCGCAGCAGAGGAGAAGCAGCTTCCCAGGCAAACACGAGTAGTCTTAGCTCAATTAAGATCGTGATGGTGCAACCGTCCCAATTGATATTGGGCAATAATTCGATACCTGACACATGATCTGTATGTGGACTAGGACCACACGAAACGTTGCACCTCGTCAACTGCCCAGTCAAGCCAACTTATCTATCGCCGAATTCCCTGTGGACGCAACCCGTTCAAGTTACAGCATTCTTAAATTTGGAGGTAGAAGAAGCAGAACCAGACAACGAATGACCAATGACCATCACCTGCACAAGGACGATCATCATAATATTCCGCCCTAGGTATATACAATTCCGATCACCAAAAAAAAAAAAACTCAGTTTACATTCGACAGCTTAACCTAATTCATCAAGTCCTCAATTCGCTCGTCGGCAACACTTGGAGCGCTATTGACCTCTTACAAAGCAAAAGGTCGGTCAGTGTTAAGCTATGCGGCGTGAAAGAATATTCAAACCTGCCAAAACGACGCCCTGGGAACTATAATAATGTATTTCCTCATAACATCAGCGGACCATTTAAGTAAGGAGGAGATCATATCCTTCCATCCGCATAACAAAACTCCTGTCATAGTCTTATGGATTTCTCCGACACATTCACATGAGGAGAGGAATATAGACATATCCGCCATATCCTACAATTCTAACTCTCCCGCACATGCACATTAGAAGGGATCTTCCTGATACATAGAGAGAGATGTATTTCAACAATTGATTGAAATATTTCATAGATAATTTGAAGGAAGTTTTGTGGACAAAAAAAAAAAAAAAAAAAAACGGCTTGGTGTTATTCCTACCAGGAATATACAATTCCACTCATCACCTTGAACATATTCTCAGTTTACATTCGACAGCATAACCTCAATTCATCAAGTCCTCAATTCGCTCGTTGGCAGCACTTGGAGCGCTATTGACCTCTTACAAAGAAAAAGGTTGGTAAGTGTTAAGCCATGCGATGTGGAAGAAAGTCCAAACTTTGCAGAACAACGCCCTGGCAACATCCTCGTAGCAAAAGGGGATCATGTATGCGAGGAGAAGATCATATCCTTTCATCCGGCAGCTACAATACTAATTCTCCCACACATCTACTTGAGGAGGGATCTTCCTGATATATCGAGAGTGATGTCCAAAAGGATCAGAAACGAGTCGAGTTCTCTTCGGTCATCGAGTCATGCTCGTCCCATTGTTAAAAAAAAAAAACAGTAGAAGAAATGTTAACAATTTGTTAAGACATTTTGATGACCGAATACTGATTCGAACTGATTCTTTTGAAAAACTGATTCTAGAAAAATGTTAAAAATTTGTGAAGGCCTTTTGATGACTTAAACTGATTTTTTTGTCTTCCATCTACAAAAAAAAATCTTTTGACTTTAAAAGTCTTGAAAATGTCTTCTACTTATGGGAGGTTTTTTCGAAATACTTCCATCTATTGATTGTCATTTAGAAAGCCTTCTATCTCTATACCGATCAAGTGGTCTTTTTGTAAAGAATGTGTTTTCTATGTAGGCCAAGGGTTTTTATAGAAAGTATTTTAAAACTTCCACCTTTTATGGAAGATCAATGGTAGGTATTCAATCTATGGATGGCATTTTCTGCCCTTTTTAAAGGTCTTTTTAAACGATCATCTATCACTGGAAGGCCTGTGGGACCTTCTGAAACATGGAAAATTATATTTTCTAATTTTTTAATCTAAATTGATTAGAAAAAACATTTATATCCTTTAATATAATTTTAACGAAAACACATTTCAATACCATTACAGCACACACACACACACATTCAACATTTTATTTAATTTTTTTATTTATTTTAATTTTAAGAAATCTTTTTTTTTTTTGCGGTCCAGATTTACATTCGGCAATTTTACTTAAGGCAATCCCAAAGGTTATTTGTTTGAGAGAGAGAGAGAGAGAGAGTTGTCATTTATCTCTCACCCTTAATCTCTTGGTAATTGCTGCAAAAAAAGTCATTAAAAATTGCCCAATGTAAATCGGGACCCTTTTTTTCTGTGGTGATGATGTCGGCTTGGTTGTTGTTGTTTTTTTTGTATTTTTTTTTTAATTTCAATTTTTATTTTTTTTAATTAGAGTTGGTCTTTTTTAGTTTCCTTTTTGTGGGTTTCTTTTTACCAAAGAAATTCTTTAGTTTCCCCTAGATTTTTTCTTTTTTATTTTTTTTTCTATATGTCCCCCTTTCTCTCTCTCTGACTCACTCTCACTTTCTATTCAATTTTTTAAAATCATAATATTTGTAAAAATTTCCGCAAATTCCCCCTTATTAGCATTGCCTTCGTCGTTCTTAAGTTTGTCGACAACAGAACTATCATCATCGGGTGGTACTACTTCGACAGGTTGTTTAATGGACATAGATTTGAGGCCCCAATTATTGTTGCCACCACAACAAGCACAATCACAGTTACAACAACAAAATACTGCGACGACAACAACAACAACAATTTCCGCTTTAGATTCTAAATTGTGTACAAAGACCAACTTTATTAGGAATCTTGAGGATATTTCTCATTTGCCAACCACGACGACGATATCGTCATCATCAGCATCATCGACCATATCATCTTCGCTATTAACAAAAACAACAACAACAAAAGTTTGCTTCAAAATTCACAAAAATGTTAATAAATTAGAAAAATCTACAGAAAAACTACTCTCCGATGATCATGATTCCTCGTCCTCCTCTGCCTCCGCCTGCAATGACACCAAGTCCAAGGACAACGGCCAGAAGCCTGCGATGATGATGGTGGATGGTGATCATGTAAGTAAAGATCATCATCATCAGCAGCATGATGAAGATGCCAAGAAGCGTCCGCTGGCTCCCATCAAGGATGAAGAAGAACCCTTGGCTAAAAAGAGTAAACCCACGAAAATTGATAAGTAAGTGGAACCGCACACACCCACACCCACCTAACCTTAATTGGGGAAAATTAATTATTTTTTTTTCTTCTATTTTTTCTAGTCTATTTGGTTCGGAGGATGTGGATTTAAGGCAATTAATGCCAGCCATTGCCGCAGGCTCCGAAGAAACGGCTCCACCTCCACCCTCGTTTAATGTGGCCACGGCCAATGAAACCAATGAGAATTGGGATAATGTCAAGGTAAGGGTATTGAAAGTAGTAACGGAAATATTTAATGAACTGTTTTTATTGTTATTGCAGACTGATGTGGGTTCCAAACAATCTTCCGGCGGCCTCAAGAAGTCCAGCCTGGATGATGTCAGGGCCAAATTGGCCAAAACGGCCAAGTTAAATAAAATGCTTAAGCTGGCAGGTAGGTCATAGATGTCTACTTTACACTCTCTCAAATTATAACACTCTCTCCCTCTCTCTTTCCCTCTTTCTCTCCCTCTCTCTTCCTTTATCAGATAAATCCAATCGTGACCACGATCAACGCAACAAATTGGCCGAATTGCAAATGAACGAAGACACCCAAGAGGCAAATGATGAAAAAATCCGCACCATGATTGCCCAGGCCCAAGAGCTATTGGAATCGAAATCCATAAACCAGGATCAATATAAGAATCTGGTGAAAACGGTCATGTCCATTAATGAGGATAACAAACTGAAGGAGGCCAAGCGTCGTGAATCGCTGAACACCTTTAAGGATAAAATCAACAAAAGCAATGAAGATGATATCATGGATTCGGAACGTAATGCCGCCCGTGATGCTGTGCTACGTAAACGTATACCGAAAATAACTAAAACTGCTACTGCCGCTAATGATTTAACCAATTCCAACGATTCGCCCCTGAGTGGTGGTGAAAGTAATGCTGCCGATGAACCACCACCACCAGCAATTCGAGCTGGCGATGTGGAAAAACACAACACCGATTCGAATGAGGAACAAAATATGCGTGGCGGAACCTCCTCCACTAATAGAAGGGAAAAACGTGGCAATAAAATCTCCAAATGGGGTGATCGGGTCACAGAGCCACCAGCAAATGTTATGATGCCAGGTGGCGGTCCACAACGTGGTCCTTGGAACAATATGATGCCACAAAATAAACGAGGTAATGGTCCGCCCTCCGGTGGACCTGGTCCCATGGGATTCCGACCAAATATGCCACCCAATAATGCAAGACCTCCCTGGCCAATGGGTGGCGGCGGTGGTAACAATATGCCTCCACACTTTAACAAAGGTGGTGGCAATAACAACATGGGCGGTCCCATGGGTGGCCCCATGCGTGGCGGCATGCCACCAATGGGCGGTGGTGTCCCACCCCCAGCCATACCATCCTCCATGATACCCAAACCCTGCAATTCCATTGACAATCCCCAGGAAGACATTGTGCGCACCATCACCATTGACGGTTGTGCCAAGGAGATTCGTTTCTACGATGACATTGCCATCGTTTTCATGGAAGTTGATCAGCCACGGGAAATTGGTTTTCAAAATGGCCAGCGCACCATATTCATCGATAATCACGAACCCATTACGCTGCAATTTAATCACGACTACAAACCGGTGACCATCGATGGTGAAACGTTTAATTTACGCTTCGGCTCACCCTCTCGTGAGTTGTTCATCGATGAACATTGGTATGAAATTTACTTCGGAGGTCCCCCCATCACCGTGCCGATACGCAATAAAATGCACATGCTCAAGGCTGAGGGTCCACCACCCCAGGTTAACATTGGCCCACTGCGCAGAGATTTGGTTGTGGGTAAAATCAATATGATTGTGGATGCCCATAATGTTATACCCCTATTCCTCGATGCTCGAGTACAAACTTTCCGTTTGGGCGAGGTGGAACACACAGTGCAATTTGCCGATAATCTATTGACGGTACTACTTGATGGTACTCCCACCCGTGTGGAATATGGTGGCCTACCCAAAAGTCTCTATTTGGGTTCGAATAAATATTTCATACGTTTTGGAGCCCTGCCGCAGGGTGTGGTGGCTGGCAAAGTACAAATCAAGGATATGATTTATGTGGAAACAAAGCCACCAGTTAGCAGTGAAATGATGGCCATCAGCCACACAATTCCACCACTGACCACAGAGGCCTCTCTGCAGTCCCAGCAAGCGGAGTTGCAGAAACCCACAGAGCCCACAGTGCCCATTTTACCAGCTGCAGCCTTAAGTAATCTCAACATCGACGAATTGTTCCAGAAATTGGTATCAACGGGTATTTTGGGTGGTGCCAGTGGTATATTACCGGCTCTGAATCCCACAGCAACAACCACACAAGCAGCAACCACAACAACACCAGCTGTTACAGATCCCCTTACCACTTCCGCAACGGGCGTAAATAAAACATCCGCCGCCGCTACACAACAGGATGTTGAAGAAGTTCCTTCAGCCAGCACCTCAACCTCGTCATCGCAACAAACACCCCCCGTCGAAACAATAAAACCCATTGATCTTAGCAAACCCGAATCCATTAAAACCCGACAATCGGCCATTGTCAACACCCTATTCTCGGGCATGCAATGCAGCAGCTGTGGTGTACGCTTCCCACCCGAACAAACCATCAAGTATAGCCAACATTTAGATTGGCATTTCCGACAAAATCGTCGTGAACGTGATTCATCACGTAAGGCCCATGCCCGTAAATGGTATTACGAACTCAACGATTGGATCCAGTATGAAGAAATTGAAGATTTGGATGAACGGGAAAAGAATTTCTTTGAAACGCCACAAGCGGATTTGGAAATTATGGATGAAACATCCAATCAACGTTCCACAAATTCCCCAATACAAAGTTGCCCCGCTGGGCCGGATGATGTTGATCGTGCCTGTGATATGTGCCAGGAAAAATTTGAACAATTCTATAATGAAGAATTGGAAGAATGGCATTTACGGTGTGCCATCCGGGTGGAGGATAAAACCTATCATCCATTGTGTTATGAGGATTATAAGGTGGGTTCGAAGAGCTTTTCCAAAGGAAATTAAATTATTTAAATGTTGTGTTTTGTTTCTTTCCTTTTACAGGCCTCATTGAATCCCCCCACACCACCTGCCAAGGAAATGGATACAAATGACACAGATATTGCCGAGGAGCCTTCGTTAATACAAATCGATGATGATAATGCTGTCGATATTGTTATTAAGGTCGAGGAAGATGATAGCAAAGAAAGTATGTTGGAAACAATTTTGAATTTCCTATTTTTTATTTATACAAAAGTTATCTCAATGGTCGTCGCGAGGTTCACTGTGGGGATATTACTACAAAAGGGGGCATTAAGGAAGAAGGTTTTTTAAGATTAAATAATCTCCTAATGGGTTTTCTATGAAAAAAACAGCTCTAGGTAGGTCTCTAGAGGCCAGAAGACTTCTCAAGCGATTTAGAAGATTTCTCCGTGGAGTTTGCAAAAAAACCACCTCTTTAAAAATACCTCTAAAGCGATTATTGAGGCCATAAGGTTTTCGGAAAACTGGAAGACTTCTCAGTGGGGGTTCCAAAAACACACCTCTTTAAAAATACCTATACGTCGGAATCTCGTGGCCCATTGAATTTTCTGAAAACTAGAAGATCTCTCAATGTTGTTTCCAAAAAAGCACCTCTTCAAACGCCTCTTGAGTCAAAGGACTAGAATACTTCTCTGTGGGGTTTCTAAAAAACACCTCTTTAAAAATACCTCTACTTAGGATTCTTGAGGCCTTGTAAGGGGGTTTCTAAAAAAACCTCTCAAACTCCTCTTGACGCCAGACAAAGGGGTTTTTTTTTATGTATATAGGACCTCAAAAGGCCTCTCACATGGTATGTCAGACTTCCCAAAGGATGTTCTAAAAACTAGAAGACCTTAGACCTCAGAGGGGTTTCAAAAATAAAAACACCTCAACAAAGGCCTCTGGAGGGCAGGAAAATTCTAGAAGATCTCTCAAAGGTGCCTCTAAAAACTAAAAGACCTCTCAAAAGACTAAAGACTAGAAGACTTCTAAAAGTTCCAAAGTTAGAGCACTTTGGGATAGAAGACCTCTCAGAAGAGTTCCTAAAGAAAAAAATATTTCTCTGAAGTTATTTTAAGGATATAAGAAATATCAGAGGCCCCTTAGGTCTCAAAAGGTCTTTTAAAAACTAGAAGACTTCTTAGAGGTATTTCCAAAAGAAGAAGACTACTCAGGAGGTTTTATAAAAAATAGAAGTCCAAAATAGGGAAATCTCGGAGGACGCTTTCTTCTGTAAATAGAAGAAATCTTTATGAAGACCTTTCTGAGGTCTTCTAAAGATAGAAGAAATCTTAGAGGACGTTTTAAGAAAACCTCATATCTTTACGAAGACATATCAGAGGGGTTTCCAAAATAAAAACACCTCTACAAAAGGCCTCCTGAGTCCAGGAGACTACTAAAGGGCCTCTCAAAGGGTCTTCCAAAAATTAGAAGATATCTCAGAGGGATTTCCAAAAATATAAGTCCACCAAAAGATACATCTCAAGGGATCTTCATTATATAGAAGAAATCTGAAAGGGTCTTCTGCAGTTCAAAGACATCTCAGAAAGGGGGTTTTTACTCGAGAAAATTATATTAGGGCCTGATGTAGCCAGAGGTAGAAAAATCTCTAATAGGTTTCTTCTACATATTGAAGCTGCCTAAATATAGAAGGCCTCTCTGAGGGTCTTCTGTGTATAGAAGGCCTTCAGGAGGGTCTTCAACAGATATTGGCCCCCAAAAGGGCCTCATGTAGCCATAGGTAGAAGATCTCTAAGAGGTCTCTTCTACATATTGACGCTGCCTAAATAAAGAAGACCTCTCGGAGGTTCTTCTATGTGTAGAAAGCCTTTCGGAGGATGGTTCTGTGTTTGAAATGGGAGGGTATTCTATGTATAGAAGGCCTTCAGGAGGCTTTTCTATGCATAGAAGACATTTCGTAGGGTCTTTTTTATTTTTTGTGTAAAGAAGGCTTCGCGTAGGCTCTTTTGTATATAGAAGACCTCTCGCAGGGTATTTTACGTATAAAAGACCTTCAGGAGTATCTTCTATGTGTAGAAGACCTTTCAAATGGTATTATCTTTACCAATTGGTCGGTCTCTAGACTTTTGGTCGATCTCTATGCCGACCAAATGGTCCTTATGAAAACCAGTGTTATGTTTCTATGCAGACCAGATGGTCGGTCTTTAAAAAGCCTTGTGCCCGCTTTTTACACAGACCAATTGGTCTTTTTAAAGACCTGTATTTTTTAAAGATACATTGGTCTTAGTAGGACTTCTGTAGGTTAGAAGGCTATTTAGAAGTGGATTTAGGTTAGGTCTCCATTGTTGATTTCTATAAAGCCCAGTGGCCGGGTCACTACACAGACCAATTGGTCTTTACAAACACTTTTAGTTTTTATACGGACTTCTGTAGGTTATAAGACTATTTAGAAGGGAATTTAGGTTAGATACTAGGTCTCTATTGTCGATTTTTATAAAGCCCTGTGGTTGGGTCAGTACACAGACCAATTGATCTTTATAAAGTACCGTTAGTCTTCTGTAGGTTGAAAGTCTCTTTGGAAGAGGATTTTTAGGTTAGGTTAGGTCTCTATTGTCGGTCTCTATAAAACCCTGTGGCCGGGTCACTACATAGAACAATTGGTCTTTAGTTGGACCTGTAGTTTTTAAAGAGACATTGGTCGTACAAGATCTTCTGTAGGTTGGGAGCATGGTTGCAAGGCTATTTAGAAGGGGATTGAGGTTAGGTTAGGTCTTCGATTTTATAACCAAAATTAAATCATTTTTTTTTTGCTTTCCCAAAAATTGTGTTTCCCCAGAACCTACCACAACGAAATCAAATCCTGATGCTAACGCTGCTGCTAATGACGATGACGACGATGATGTAATCGTTTTGCCCAATGAAGAACCATCGGTTACGGAAATTGATGATGATGACGACGACGATGATGATGAATATGTGCCGGCTAATGTAACCCGCGAACAAATGGGCAATATACATGGTGAAGATGATGATGATTTGAATGAAACCACCGAATCTGATGTTGAAATACAAGAACCGCATATACCCTTTACCGATTTGGATACATACGAGGAAAAGGAACTACCTGAACCGGATGAATTTACGAGGGCGGCATTTATGAACATTAAAATCAAACAGGAACCAAATGCCGATGAAGAGGATGAAGATGATGGTTTCGAGGATGTGGGTACGGTGTTAATTGCACCCGAGGAGATTTCCATACACAGTAGTGGTGAGTAGTGAGGAAGGGGGTTAATTTTTTAGGGATTTGAAATAATTGATTTTTTTTTTTTGAAATTTTACAGAAGAAACACAAACCCAAACCATTGAATCCTCTACCTCAGCCGCCATGTCACCCGGCCAGCAGGAACGTCCCGCCTCAACCCCAGCCTCGGTTTTGAATGAGGAAATGAACGAAACAACCACAGATCATTTGCCGGCCACCGATTTAAACATTTCCATGGATGGTAATATGGAAACAGGCGATGAACATAACCTGTCCGCAGTTGGTTTAGCACCCGCAATGCCCTTGGCTAGTTTAGTTAATAAGATCAAAATAAATATTACCAAGAATAATGTAAATCATGCCAATAGTTCTGGTGGTAGTGGTAGTAGCTCAGCAGCAAATTCGAAAGCTCATAATTTGGGAGAACAAATGGGTGGTAATTTAGGTGCGGGTGGTGGGACGGCATCATCGTCCTGCTCCACCTCTGCCACAACAACATCATCCTCCGCCTCCTCCTCCTTTAATCACATACCAACCATATCAACGATACCTGTTTTGTGTGGTGGCGGAACAACAATTTGTAGTACCCAAAGCACAACAACAAGTGGTGGTGGGAATATGTTTGAAGAGCACACCTCCAATCCAATACCCTCGATTGGTGGTGGTGCTGGTGGTGCCACTGAGAACAACAGTGTCAGCACAATATCCGTCATTGGCAGTATGTATGGTAATAATGGCCCGACGGCTACCGTTAGTCGCACCATACACCCGCCAGCAAATGTTGTCCAACCCGCCAAACCTCCAGCCGCCACTGCACCAACACCTCCACCGGTTGAAGAAACCATAACCTATGAATTGAAACCGGCCCTGCAAAAAGCCACTCTAAGGAAAAAGGAGAAGGTGATTTGTGGCAATGAAACCTCGGGACTGTGTTCCATAATGTAAACTGGTTGATATTCAACAACTTTACAAACACCTAGCCCGCGCGACCCTTTCCCTAACCTAAAAAAAGAAACACAACAGAAAAAATCAAGGGTTGTGTTTTTTTATTTGTTGTTGTTGTCACATGCCGCCGACCCATGTGACTCATACAACCAACCTGTAGAATTCCAATTGTATATATATTTTTTTTTTAAAAAACTTGTTGTTGTTAAAAGAAAAGAAGAAGAAGAAAAACAAACACTTTTAATAATTTCTTAAATTAATTAATTTTCTTTAAAATTAATTTCAATTCGTTGATTAGTATTTAGTGTCACACATACATATGTTTTTTTATTATTACTATTTTGAAAAAAAAAAACACACACACACAAACATATATCGATGTAGTAATACTTGGTCCAACCAACCAATCAAACCAAACCGGGAGGGTCCAGGTACTTTGAATTATTTATCATCAGCAGCCAATGCAACATTTAATAATTTAAATTTACATATTTAATTTAATTTTATTAATTACATTTTTTATTTATATAACGACTTTTTTATTAGTCATCAATTTAAAAAAAAACAATAATTTAGTAATTTTTATTTATGAAAAAATACAAAACAAAAAACAAATTTTGTTTGCTGTGTGGGTGTTGGGGGGGAAAAAGGCAGCCCTCGCACCTTGAAATGTTATAAATGAAATCGTCATAGGATTTCTTCGTCCGCCCTCCCCCGCCCGGCCCTCTGTTAGGTACTCAACAAACAAATAATAATACATTTTTCGTATTTACTTATATTTTATTACAATAAAAAACACCACCCACACACACAACAATCACAAATGAAAAAATATCAAAAAAAAAACATAAATAAATAAAATAATAAAAAAAATCTATTAAAAAAAATAAACAAACAAAAAAAATATTTTAATAAATAAAATAAAATATTATATAAAAAAAAATTAAGTTCTGTTTTTTGTCGATTCATTTTTTTTATTTTTATTGTAGTATAACCACCACCATTCAAATACATATATATAATATAATTAAATAAAATATAAATAAATATAAACAATTTTTAAATAGCTTGCAATACAAAAAAAAAAACATGTTTTTTATTTAAAATAATAATGGTTTGTATTGATTAAAAAAAAATTAAAATACAAAGATGTACTAATTTTTATGACAAAGAATTTATGGACGAATTCTACATTGATTCAGTACAGAGACTAGATATTGTGGTGTTCCGTATTGACAATCATCGACAATCATATTTATAACCGTTCACAAAAAAAAAAAATAATTTTCAAAAATAGATAAAAAATGATGAGGATTCTTGTGTTAAAAAATTTGTATTTCTAGATAATTTTTTTGACCTTGTAGATCTCTTCTATAATTTTTAAGACCCTATAGATTGTTCTATCATTATTCTAAATCTCGTAGATCAAAAATTTAATTTTTCCGGACCTTGTGAATTTTTTTTAAATATTTGTATACCCTTCACCATACTGTGGTCTTTGTGCATATGTTTGTAACAGGCAAAAATAATCGAGATAGACCCATGGGTCCTTTAGAGAATAGCCATAGAATCACTTTCTGAGTCGATTTATGTATGTCCGTCCGTCTGTTGGTATTAAATTGTAAACAAAGTGCAGGTCATTTGTTTGGCCCACGGACGAACTCTATTGAAATTGGGGAAAATCGGTTCAGATTTAGCTATAGCTCCCATATATATATATATATATTCGTCCGATTTTATGTAAATGGTGTATCAAGTCCATATATATCTTTCGATTTGCACGAAATTTGGCACAGCGTACGGAATTAAGTCTAAAATTATGTGTGCAAAGTTTCGTGAAACTCGGTTCAGATTTAGGTATAGCTCATATATATATTTTCGTTCGATTTTATTTAAATGCTGTCCCATATATAGTTTCGTCCGATTTTATGTAAATGGTGCACCAAAATCCCTATATATCCGTCGATTTGCACGAAATTTTAATTTCTCATATTAAATAATTTTAAGGCCTTCTTCTTATTGACGTCGTAATTCGATATCGTGAATTTTTTAAATATTTTTTTCGACCTCGTGGATTTTTTAAATAATTTTAAAGGTCTTGTTTTTTTTTTGACATCGTAATTCGATATTGTGATTTTTTTTTAATTTTTTTGACCTCGTGGATATTTTAAATATTTTTTATTTCGACCTCGTGGATTTTTTAAATATTTGTTTACCTATTTTTAATGAATTTTTTTTATTAATTTTAATTTGATGCGCCAGTTTGAAGAATAATTGTACGACTGAAGTATGCAAAATAATAATATTTAAATATTTAAATAAATATATCAAATTCTTCATAAATGTTCAATAAGTATTTTAATAAAGAAAAAAGTCCCTCTTTATCGAATCTTAAGCTCATTGACTTATTTGTTTATCTTCCGGACAATGTGATAATTTCTCAACGTCTTTTTTTTTTCTATTCAATTGTTTGTTTTTGTTGTCCATCTCTGTCATTATGCAATTTATTTATTTGCATATTTAATTTTGCCCCGAAAAAAAATATTCAAAAAATATTTCTTGTTTATTTATTTTCTTTTTTGTTAATTCATATTCAAATAAATTTCTATGTTAACGACAGGTGTTACATTTTTTTCATTAGAAAATTCCCAAAGATCAATATCAACACAAAGGAAGCCAAAAAAATAAATTAAGGTGTTTACGAGGTCTAGTATAATTATTTAAGAAGTGATCTAGGAGGGAAACTTATTTTAAGAATCTACGACGTCGGAAAATATTATTTAAATAATCTATGAGGTCGGGGAAAACATATCCACAAGGTCTGCCTAATTAGAAACAACACAATATGTCTTTGTAATTCTGCTAAAAGTTAAAAACACGATTTAATTTATTTCACTATGACTAATTGGTGTTTTTCCATTAATTTAAAAAAGTATTTGCAATTCCAAAGCCGTTACAATTTCCTGTTCATATGTCATTTCTGGCAATTCTCTTCTCCGCACTGAGAGCAATCATATGGCAATGCCATGTCATGTGATAACGTTCACATCATTCACTGAGTAATGATAACAGCACGGCGTTAAAAACTGACGCCTTTGTATATAAATAAAAACGACGTCGTAGCAAATAAGACGTTGAACGAATAGCGGTATTTCAAAAATAATTCAACAATTTAAAGGCAAGTTTCGACTATACCATGGCACAATGAATAGGTAGTCCATTTAGAGCAGCTGATGTCTTGATTAACTGTCAAAGTGGGTAATTTTTTTTTCCAATTAACTCCTCTCCTCCTTGGCTCACGTCCTATTTGGTGTTAGAATGTTCAGAGCCATGTCTCCATGTGTAGCTTAAGCTACAAATTTGACTTTATCCATAGATGGTGGTTTGTGGTTTACAGGTTGACTTCGATCTTCTTTAAGAATTTGACCACAATGTTCAGACTTCCTAAGCCTTGTGTATCAGTGAACTCTTCTACTGTGAAGGAGTCACATAGTTGCGGGAAGCATCTTCTTTTGTTACTAAATTTACGAAATCTAAAAATTACATGCGCAGCTGTTTGGATTCTATTGAACGACTCGGACTTTACAGGTTATCCGTATTTAAAAACACACGTGTTAGTTAAGCGAACGCTTAACAACCGCCATTTTGTAAAAATCTATTTTTAAGCCCGTGGGCGTATAATACTCATTTAAATTTTTTTAGGTCACGTCTTTCTTGTGAGCCGTCCGAGGACGAACTCGAGGTGGGTAATTTCTACTTGAATTCGACGTGCAGTGTTGCCAACCATTTGAAATATTATATGAAAAAAAATTGACAGATAATCGAGACAAAAACAAAGGTTTTTGTTTTGATACATCACCTTATTATTGCATCATGGTCAAAACCTACTAAATTAAGTCGATTTCGGATTAAACATTTACAATAATTTAAACGTATATCAATTGGCAATTCTCTTCTCCACACAGCGAGCAATCATATGGCAATGCCATGTCATGTGATAAAGCTCAAGTCAATCACTGGGAAATGATAACAGGGCGGCGTAAAACAACTGACGCCGTCGTAGTTAAAAGAAAAGCGACATCGTAGTAAATAAGACATTGAACGAATAACGGTAATTTAAAAAATAAATTATACATTTAAAGGCACGTTTAAAGTCGATTTCTAATTTCAAATTTTATTAGAAAACTAAGTATTTTGAATTTTTACGGCTTTTTAATTTGAAATAATTTTTTTCTAAACCTTGTAAATCTCTTCAATAAATTTTCTAAACATTGTGAATGCCTTAAATCATATTTTCTAGACATCGTAGCTCATTTACATATTTTAACATTTTTAATTCTTACTATTTTATTTTCATTTAAAACGAAAATCTATTTACCTTTTGTTATTACGTGCTATAGACGTCACAACTAAATTAAATTGAAATAATCCACATTTTTTCTTAAAATTACGATTGACATTGGTTTGAATTGTGAAACTAAATTGAATCTTTTTCAACACTTGCAAGTGATTATGATTGCTTTTTTTAAAATCGCATTACACTACTTTGCGTGATATCACTACAGATCTCGACTTGTCGTTGTTCTGGTTGTTCTTAATTTAGCATTGATATTATCGAATTGATTTATGTGTGCAGCATTTTGAAACCAGAAAAAAACAGTGAAGTAAAATGTCCAGATAAGTTGGTTGTTGGTATTTTCAATTAAGATTTCCGGCTTTGGAGCATGCTTGAGGCTTTAGCACACAAATATGCAGGCCAGAGTCAACGTCAGCCAGACATACAGACGCTCAACCTACTGGCCAGTTGACTCAATCAGCATCATGTATTAAGTGAGAAATAAGCATGTAATTTAATTAAATTATACTGCATGTCAACAATTTTTTGAAAAAAAAAAATAAACAATTTTGTTTGTAATGCAGTAAAGGGTGGCTAATACATACATATGTGGGTGTGTGAATGCATAATTATTGTTATGATCATTTCAAATTTTCGAATACAT